CGCTGGGATTGACGCCTCAGAAATCAGAAAAATAGGAGTGGGTATAACTTTCTCGCAACTACTCTGTACAAATCCTTTGCTTTCGTATTCTTTGTTTAGATTGTTATCTTGTATATTCTACCTGTTATATACGCCATTTTTAGCGAACGGGATTTATGTACAAAGCATATAAAGTGCGCAGATTGGATTCAGTGTACTAAATGCAATAAATGCATTACATGAAATATGTACCTCATGTCATAACACTTGTATACGTAGGACGATTGTAATTATTATTTATTACTTCATATATATATTTACCATTCTTAATATTTCTTAATAATACTTTATAAACACATTTTGTAAGTTATTGTGTCATTACACATCTTATTTATATGCATTATTTGTAAAATTTTCGTGAACCATACATACCTCCCTTCCTCTGTAAATAGCCATATATCCCACTCCTATGAGATATACGGCAAGAATGCAAAGGTTTCAAAAAGTTTATTTTTTCATATGAAAAATAAATATTTCGGATTTCTAATATTTTTTTCGTAGGACGAGACAGTACAAAGTTTTTACTGATATAGTTCATTTACTATAAACATAGTAAATAATACTTAATAAATTAAACTTTTGATAGATGCGGCGTATATACCGAAGTTACCCTATATATGTATATATGGGAAATATTTCTAATAATTTTTAAGTCATACATTTTTTTCTAATATGATGCACTTAATAAGTCTGATACAAGATTAGTTATTTATTATGTTTCTTACACGTTGTAGAATTTTACCATGGTGGAAAGAATGGACATTCTGTAATGGTTTGATAAAAGCAAACGGTTCTACTTGGATGAAAATGATGGATATATTTAAAAGGGATCATGATATACAAATTTTAGAATACTTGACCTGCTCTGAAAATCCTAATATTATTCAAATATATTTAAATAAGATAACAGAAAATATGTCACTAGAAATTAATGATCGTGTTAATATTTTCCTTCGTATTATCGCAAAGCATGCAAAGAACATTGAAATATTGAAATATATATTGGAGAATTTCGAAAAAATAAAACCCAGGTATGATAAAACTCTTTTCAAAATTATATTATAAATTTCTAAAACGTTTATATTAATATATGTATGATAAATATATATTAAAAATATTCGTAACACATTTCCAAGTAACACACAGCGCCAAGCGTTAATAAAGCGCTAAAAAAGTGTATAAATGTTTTTTAGCGCTTTGCAGACGCTGCTGTGCTACTTATTGGATTATATACACTTTTTTTTTTTCTGTAGAGAAGTCAATGTGTTTGCAGCATTAACTGTTATTCTTAATCATGGAAATATTGAAAAGCAAAAAAACAGGGTAAATTATATACTCTACTTCTTATTATACAGAGCCTTTTTAATAGTTTGTGAGGTTAATAGTTTGTGAGGCCTTTTTAATAGTTTGAGAGTAACTATTCGTAACAAGATATACTTAATATATCTTATCCAATAAAAAAATATCGGCATGTGCTAACAGACGTGCGATCAGAACATTGATCAGTTTGGTCCAATTAATTTCTTTTTTCAAGATTATCCGATTAACTTCATCATGCTATTAGATCTTGCTAACATATATAGTATTTGTTCTTTATCTTGCTTGTTTTTTACATTTCTTACTTTCAATAATAATCTCCCTATTAATACGAAAATAACTTGTTTCAGATTTTAAGTAAATTCGTAACATATGTTAAGGAAGAACTAATAATAAGAACTATTCGGTTTAAGTTATTCAGTCGAAAAATACGACAGGAAAAGGTATATTTTAGAAATCCAATATACTTATTTTTAAATCATTTTGTTAAAATTATTTATTTCCTTCAAATGCTTTATGCATGTATACATATATCATAGACATATATAGTATTTTAATTTAATTATGTTAAGGAGAGATTATATTATATTAGAATTACGTTACAATCTTATAAAATAAAATTGAATCATTATTATCGATGATAATTCATCGAAATAATTGGTTTTAGATACAGAAAATTATGTCAAGTGATTATCCGAAGGAAAACGTTATGCGTAATACAGAAAAACCGGAAATACCAATAAATGAAAGTGCCATAGAAGAGGTAAATTTTATTACGTATACTATTCACACAGAATTATTGACGCTATACGCAAAAATAATATATGTATGTATGTTGTTCCCATGTGTATATATGTATAGGATGTCCCGTAATTTATCCGACAACGTTTGTGGGCAGATAGAGCGGACTGAGTCGAAAAGTCCTCTACCATTTTCCAATTTTCGCAATAGTAAACAAGATATTAATTACTAAAAATTGCCGAATATTGGTCTTCAATAATAGTTTTCTCAAAATCTGTAAGAGAAAAAAAATTGTTTATTTTCTTCTCATAAAGTTCTGAGAATTTTTTCGGAATTTCTTAATACCGTATTCTCTCATGTTGGTCAAAATAAGAAAATGCAGTACTAAAAAGTTAATAAAAAGTCCTTAAAAAATTCTTAGAGTTCTATGAGAAGAAAATAAACAATTTTTGTGTCTTGCAGTTTTTTTGTAAAGTTGATAGTATTTGAAATAAAAGTTATTGAAGACCAATATTCGGCAATTTTTAGTAATTAATATTTCGTTAACTTTTGCGAAAATTGCAGAATGATACAGCACTTTTTGACTCACTTTAGTCCACTTTACCTGCCCACGAACGTTGTCGGGTGAATTATGCCCTGTATGTACATATACATATTTATTAATTTCTAATTTTGCTTATTTTTGTTTTGCATTTTGTGTGGATGAGTGAAAACACAGTAGAAGGGAATACGGTACAATATAGTAGAAAGCTGTGGATAGATACATAAATGTACCGCATTACGCGTGTCCACACACACACACACACACACACACAATATAATCCAATATACTTATTTTTAAATCATTTTGTTAAAATTATTTATTTCCTTCAAATGCTTTATGCATGTATACATATATCATAGACATATATAGTATTTTAATTTAATTATGTTAAGGAGAGATTATATTATATTAGAATTACGTTACAATCTTATAAAATAAAATTGAATCATTATTATCGATGATAATTCATCGAAATAATTGGTTTTAGATACAGAAAATTATGTCAAGTGATTCGAAGGGAAACGTTATGCGTAATACAGAAAAACCGGAAATACCAGCAAATAAAAGTGTCAAAGAAGAGGTAAATTTTATTACATATAGTGTTCACACAGAATTATTAATGCCACACGCAAAGTAATATATATATGTGTGTTATTCCGATGTGTATATATACAGGATGTCCCGTAATTTATCCGACAACGTTTGTGGCCAAGTAGAGCGGACTGAATCGAAAAGTCCTCTATCATTTTCCAATTTTAGCAATAGTTAACAATATATTAATTACAACTAAAAATTGCCGAATATTGGTCTTCAATAATTGTTTTCTCAAAAACTGTAAGAGAAAAAAATTGTTTATTTTTTCTTGTCATGAAGATCTCAGAATTTTTTCAGAATTTTTTAATACCGTATTCTTTCACGTTGGTCAAAATAAGAAAATGCAGTATTAAAAAGTTGATAAAAAGTTCTAAAAAAATTCTTAGAGTTCTATGAGAATAAAATAAATAATTTTTGTTTCTTGCAGTTTTTTTGTAAAATTCATAGTATTTGAGATAATAATTATTGAAAACCAATATTCGGCAATTTTTAGTAATTAATATCTTGTTACCTATTGCGAATATTGCAAAATGATACAAGACTTTTCGACTAAGTCCACTCTACCTGCCCACGTACGTTGTCGGGTGAATTGTGAGACGCCCTGTATATACATATACATATTTACTAACTTCTAATTGCGCTAATTTTTTTTGTGTTTTGTATGGATAAGTGAAAAGAAATACAATACAATATAAAAGAAATTTGTGGATAGGTACATACGTACTTATGTATATATATATACAAAAAATATACTCATGTATAATAGAAACTATCATTTTCAGACATACGATATTTCGAAAAAAACTATGGACAGAATGGAGCAGCAAATTATATTTATGCATGTGGCCATCATAAGAATATCTAAAACACTGGAAATGACGAATAATGATATTCTAATACTTGCTGCCATTGTTATAACGTTATATTCATGTTTATTGTCTAAATATACGGTGAATTATGGAACGAGGCTTATTTCTAGGATTAATATGATGATACGTATATTTAGCCTTACAGTACGTTTCATAAAATCTGTATCATATGTAGTTCAAATGCAGTATTTAATTGTTATGCAGTATTTAATTGTTATGTTATTAATATTTATCTCTAGTACACTGATTGTTAGTATCTTCTATGTTATATACTCGATCTTGGAATAATAATGAATTATAATTTTTAAAGAACAGTATTAGTAGAGTGGTGTAAGTTTTAAAATAGTACTAGCTTTTGTCGTTATTTATATTGTTTAAATCCTGCTGATTTGTTTTGATATATTTGATAGAAAATGTTTAATTTATTTTTTTATTCAATATCTTATTAAAAAATTTTTCTCTGATATTTGATGACTTCATCTATTAATATCAAACATTTTTTTGTGAAATTTTCTTAATTTTGTAATATTATAGGTATTTTTTAGTGATATTTATCCAATTACATGATCACATAATAAATTTTGAACAGACGCACCAGCAGAGCGTCTGAGATTGCTTTGATACATAAATGGTTCTAAACAATCAGAACTAGAATTGTTTTAGCACAACAGAAAATCAAAATAGTTTTATATAAACTATTTTTATGTAAATTATCTAATTTCTCATTTTTTCTCTATTAATATAAATGGCAATATAAGTTATTGTACTAACATATATAATGTCTTAGAACATAATTTAGGATTAATATTTTTAATATTTACGATATGGTCGCATATATTATTGTGATTTATGATATATTACGACATTATATTTTATACTATTAATATTAAGATTAATTACTAATTTTAGAATAATTAGAATTAACTATAATATTGTGACATAATAAATATTATTATTTGTTTTTAATACAATTAAAATATTTATTATTAATTATTTGATGCTAATAATATATTCATATTTTTTATTTACAATAAATACGAAGCATTATTTTACGTTATTAATATTAATTATTCATTTTTGAATATTTTAATTAGTATATATATATAATATATATAGTAATTAAAATCGTTATATTATAACGTAAAATATTGCATAATCGTACAATATTATAATTATATATATTTCAATTATATTTAATGTTTATTATTATTGTAATACTTTTATTATTAATTAATTGACACTTGTAATAACATGTTTACTTTTATAATAAAAAATGGCGGCCATTTTATTTACATTATTATTCTTTTCCACTCATGCTTATAAGTTAGCAAATTATTTATATATAGTATTATTTTCAACTGAGAATTTATTTAATAATGCATCTTTAACTATTGCTTAACGATGATATTTTGGGATAATATTTATTAATATTATTAATAATTCAACAAGTCAAATATTAGAACAGTATAAGCGAGCAATTTGTCAAACAATTAGAAAATTAATTTAAAAAGTAGCGTCTTACATTTTATCGACAGAATGTCGAAAGAAATCTGCTAACATAATAACAGATACCGCGGAGTAAAATCTATCATTTTGTAATTTTATAAACGATATTTTTATTTAAATTACGAAATACAATTTTGAATGAATAGGCAACTTAAATGAGTATACTGAAATTCCCTAGAAACGTAGAAAAAGATGAGAAACCTGAATATCGATAATGTTCAGGCTTGTTATAGACCGTGCAGGAGCGCCGAGCGCGTATGACACGTGCTCTCTATTTTTTTCAACAACGACTGACCATTGTCAGACGCGTATGTAGATATGTGTCGGTTAGACTGTTAAGAAAAATTGTGCAGAGTCTACAGAAAAGGAAGTTAAAAACGATTCATAATCCCATTGTGAGTTTTCCGATTGGATTGTATTCTACCGACCGACCTAATTGCCATTCTGATTTCCCCTGCGTCAATATAATGCCAGAGGTGGAGCATACGACCGGTGACGATGAGCGTTATCAAGTCGAATATTTGGAGACGCCCATCAAATCGGAGAACGATAAGAAAGAATACAGGTAAGGCAGAGTCAGGTATTCCTTCGATTGAATTAAGCATTTTTTCGGTTGAAATAGAAATGAGGAACATTATTTAATGGTAATTTTTTTTAGAGAAACGTTACGTTTTATAAGAAAGGGTTAGGTTTATATGATAAACTTTGTTATTGATTTGTTGTATTATTATTGTGTGTTTTGTCTTCCTAATACAGAGTCATCAAATTACCAAATGGTTTAACAGCTTTGTTAATATCCGATATACATTCAAAAACTTGCGCTTCTCAGGATCAAGATGATCAGGACAAAGGTAAGACATATCTGATAATATAATTTTAAAAATAAGACGTTATGTATCCTGATAGCAAAACTTGTGGAGATTAATTTTGAGCAGAGCCTGCTACCAATTTTTTATTGCAGAAAGACAACAAATTGTACATAAAGTTTATACTATCAAACATTGTCAAAAAACTGTTCAAAATTATGACAAAGCCTGCTGACATGCCATGCAGCAAATTGATAACAGAAACTGAACAGAGTCTGCTGCATAACCTGTCAGTAGAGTCCCAGCAGAAACCAAGCAGAATCTGTTGACATAATCTGACTGTAGATTGGTAGCAGAAATTGAGCAAAATCTGTCTTTTTTTTATATACGGCCCTGCCATGAGATGAACTTGCTTCTCATAAGAAGAAAACATCCAGGAGTCCTATAAGAATTTGTGTATATAAATCGAATATGCAAATCTAGAGATTTCCAAGCTTTTTCGGAGTGTGCTTTCTGAATCTTCAAATATTTTTCTTACTATTTTATAACTGTCTCATGTTTACTTTGAAATGTGAAGCTAATCAATAATATTTTAGCAATAAAATTGTATTGATTGTTTTCACACCAGTATATATAAATATATAAAATTATGTATAATTATATATAATTCTTTATATATATGTACACAAAATTTCTTGTAAGAAACCAGGTTGATTTAAATGAAAATGACAGATCTTGTTCGATTTCTGTTTGCAATCTGCTGTTAGATTATGTCAGCAGACTGCTCGGTGTTTGTCAACAATTGCTGGCAAAACATGTCAACAGTTTTGAGGACGAATCCATAGTCAAATATGGATACAAATTATTGTTTTGTAGTTAAAATCTGATTGAGTTTATTGTCAATTTGCAAACAAATTGCTAAGATTTTGCTATCAGGGTATGTAATGATAATGAGAAAAGATGTGTTTGTGTGTATGTGTGTGTGTATGTGTGTGTGTGTGTGTGTGTGTGTGTGTGTGTGTGTGTGTGTGTGTGATAAAATTATCTGCTAACTATCTCATTAAAGGTTGTTATTTTGAATATTAATATAGAATCCGAAGATGAAACTGAGGATGAAGAAAGTAGCGAAGAGAATGGAGGAAATGATGACGACGAAAATGAAGGTGATACAATCACAAGCGATGAATACGATGAAGAAGATGGTTCTTCAGTTAAACGAGTTAAAAGAGATGAAAAAAAGGTACGAAGACATTTTAAGATTGTTGCAGTTTAGGTGTATCTGTGGTGCCAATTTATTATATATAATCATAAAAAATTTGTTGTAATTTAATTTGTTGTCGAAAAACCTATAAAATTATGAAAAGATTTCCTCGAGGCTTAATATTATCAATTTTATCAAGAATTTTCGTTTTATCTACTATCTACAAGAGAAGTTATATAGAAGAGAGAGATTCATTTAGAAATATATCTCAATTTAAAATTGTTTACCTATCATTCCATTGATTATGTTTAATTCTCTATTTAACATTCTGTATACAATGTGTAATGTGCATATATATTTTTTTAACAGGCTGCATGTGGTCTATGTGTGGGAGTAGGCAGTTTCAGCGATCCAATAGAGGTTCAAGGCATGGCACATTTTCTTGAGCACATGGTTTTCATGGGATCTGAAAAATATCCTCAAGTATTAAAACATGATACATGTATGAATTTGCTATAAAATTAATTTATTATTATATCTAAATGTGTATTGTCTTGTAGGAAAACGATTTTGATGCGTTTATCAGTAAGCGTGGTGGCTTTACCAATGCATCAACGGATTGCGAGCATACAACATTTTACTTCGATATCCAGGAGAAACACTTGTCGTCAGCTCTCGATCGTTTTGCTCAATTTTTTATTAAACCCTTAA